CTCTCTCTGTCAAATAAATAAATAAAATCTTTAAAAAAAAAAAAAAGAAAAAAATCCGTTTAATCAAAGTGACAAAGACTTTGAAGGCAAATACAGAAAGTTACATAGTTGTTTAAAAACAAAGCACCCTTAGCTCTTTTAATATTGAGAAGACTAGGTTTTCTTCAGTAATCAAAGACCTGATAGAGACAACATGAAGCACAGTAAATTATTTTGGTAAGACACAAAATCTTTGCTTTCCAGGTAGATTTATCTAAAAGGTAAAGAAAAACCTTTGTGATTTCTTACTAAGAGAAGACCAATAGTCCAACAAAACTTTATCCTATTTTTTTTAAGAGGATTTTTTAAGGATTTCATACTTTTTTAAGAGAGAGAATGTGCACGTGCGATTGGGGGTTGGGGGATACCACAGGGAGTATCTTAAATGGGGCTTGATCTCACGACCCTGAGATCAGGACCTGAGTTGAAATCAAGAGGATGCTTAACCAACTGAGCCATCCAGGTGCCCCAGTTATCTTGCTGACAAGTTCTGTAACAGAGATAACATGAGCTTATTTGACTTTTGGTAAACCTAGGTAGAATAAAAATTGTATGTCTGCATTATTTTTAATGCTCATAACTCTAAAGCCATGCCTGTTTTAATTAAACCAACAGATTTAAACTAGCTTAACCTCCCCAAAGTTATCTAGATCATGTGAACTTGAAAAACATTTGGGTTAGGGGCACTGGGTGGCTCAGTAGGTTAAGTATCTGACTTTGGCTCAGGTCATGATCTCAGGGTCCTGGGATTCTTCTCCCTCTGCCCCTCCACCCTGCTTGTGCTCTCTTTCTCTCTCAAATAAATAAATAAATAAATAAAATCTTTAAAAAAAAAAAAAAAAAACAGACTTTACTTAAATACCTCCTGAAGCAGGCAGTCTCTGGTCCCCAGGGTCCAGAGAACTGCAAAATGGGGCAGGAGACAGGAAGCTTTTATAGGATAAAGAATAAGGGACGAGGAAGAGAAAAAAACTGAAAATGAATAAGGAACAAGGAAGTAAGTATAGAGCCCAGAGTTGGCTTGTAGCCGGGGCATAGGGATGCAAGAGCACCAGACTCTGGGGGGTCCCAGACTGACTAGGTTCGGCCACTCAATGCTGACAAAACCCTAAGGCAGATCAACCAGTGGTAGTGAAACAAGAGAGGAATTTATTTCAATGAGGCCAACACAGGGAAGAGAGCCGACTAGCATCTCAAAGACTCCAAAAGGCCAAAAAATACTTTCAGGTTTATATAAGGAAAATGTGGGACGAAGGTCAGTGGGTATCTAAGGCAGTAAAGGTGTGGTCAGTCATTGTCATGGGTGAGGTCTGGCTGGCAAGGGCAGTCCTTACTGCTTGAGGAGATAGTTTTGGTTCCCACCATCTGATACTTTGCCAGGAAGATCTTTTGCTTGAAAGTTAAGAAATAAGCTGGAAGGAAGAACTTAATTCGAAAGTTTGAGGTCACAATGAAGAGAGTTGAAGTCCTCTTTCAGGCTTGGTGTTTGGGGGTTGGCTGCCTAAAGCTACTGTGTTTCTGGTCAAGCAGAGCACTTATCTGAGTTATCTGAGTTTCAGTTTGTTAACCTGGTAGTCAGGAATGGCTCTATCTTGGGACTAAAAATTTATTTCACCCATTCGCCTTTTTGATCATTCTCTTGAATGGTTTTTAAAAAAAAAAAAATCAGTATTCGGGGCAGCTGGGTGGCTCAGTCATTAAGCGTCTGCCTTCGGCTTAGGTCATGATCTCAGGGTCCTGGGATCGAGCCCCGCATCGGGCTCCCTGCTCTGTGGGAAGCCTGCTTCTCCCTCTTCCACTCCCCCAGCTGGTGTTCCCTCTCGCTGTGTCTTTCTCTGTCAAATAAATAAATAAAATATATTTTTCTAAAAGATCAGTATTAGTGTGACTCTCAGTTACCATTGTCTCTTCAGGTCTCAGTATAGTATTCACAAGAGATGATATCAGGATTATATCCTTGGAACTGGTTATGTTCTTCAGTTCTCTGTTGTCATTCCAGTTGGAGAGAAATCATTTGTTGGATGATCAACAGTTGCACACATTCATTTAAAACTTTTGAGAGAATATAGCGTATAGAGAGACAGTAATAATTATTACCAACAAAACAATATCCATGATCCAAACCAGCTAGAATACTGAGAATATTTCTTTAAGCCAGTTGACTTGTTTATGTATTTTGTGTATTTCATGTAACTATGTCTCCACTTCCCCAGAAGTGTTTATCCAGCAAGCTTGTTCCAGAGAAACTGAGGCATTGGAAATCAGGAAGAAATCAGTCACAAGCAGAAAGAACTGTAGGATTACCAGGGCAGCATAGCAAATCCAGCAATTGATTTACCTTCCTTTGTAATGACCTGAGATACATGCACAATGGCATTATCTTTACAGGTTAGGGGAAGGGAAAAGGTGGAGAAAAGAATCCTAAAATGTAGAGGTTGCTTTTAGGCAAATAGGCTTGAGCAATGGAATGTAGAAAGGGACCACAGCGACCCACTGGAAGAATACAGACAGGCCCACCAGGGGACACACCTCAAAATATCCATAGGCCCTAACTAACCAATGGGCTACTTACAACCAGACACAGTTACCAAAAAAGGGAAAATTTCATACGCTGCCACACCTCCTTATCTTCCCCCTTTAAAAACAGCTCCCAGGGCCACTGGGTGGCTCAGTTGGTTAAGCATGGGGGAGGGGTGGAGGGAGAAGCAGACTCCCTGCTAAGCCAGGAGCCTGACATGGGGATCAATCCCAAGACCTTGAGATCATGACCTGAGCTAAAGGCAGATGCTTAATGGATTGGGCACCCAGGCGCCCCAATACCTGAAATTTTTACTGATAATATTAAGCCAGGGCCTATCAGATTTTTAGGAATTTTATACAAGTTCTGGAACACGTATGTTAATAACATACCCATACAGGGGCGCCTGGGTGGCTCAGTCGTTAAGCGTCTGCCTTCGGCTCAGGTCATGGTCCCAGGGTCCTGGGATTGAGCTCCACATCGGGCTCCCTGCCAGGCGGGAAGCCTGCTTCTCCCTCTCCCACTCCCAGTTCTTGTGTTCCATCTCTCGCTGTGTCTCTGTCAAATAAATAAAATCTTAAAAAAAAAAAAATACCCAGGGGCGCCTGGGTGGCTCAGTTGGTTAAGCGACTGCCTTCGGCTCAGGTCATGATCCTGGAGTCCCGGGATCGAGTCCCGCATCGGGC